ACGAATTTGGGAGGGACAAAATCAAGTGTAACAGAGACTCTGCTTTTATATCTCTGTATATAACTCTGTGCTGACACATTGAAATTGTCCAATAAGTGCTTTTGAGTCAGTGAATGAAGAATTGAACAGATATGTGTTGTACATGTTTTCTCAACCAGAGCATAAAGCCACTTGAGGACAATGAAAGAACACTAGCTTTGGAATCGGGAGACCTGGATTATTCTCCTTTGCTTCATGTCAGTGGGGGAGGAGATCCTTTTAGCAGCAACTTCAAAAGATGCCCCTTTACCTAGATCTAACATGCCTGTTCCACTCCTAAAGCCATTGGAGATTCAGAGCATTTATTCTTCATAATGTCTAGAGCACTTGCCAAATTCCAGGCTCCTACAATTTCAACCCAAGAAAATGCCATCTGCTGCTCAAAAATTGATTGTTGGCCACCTTTTATCTGTTATATTCTCTTCCAGTGAGAAACTGTGTTTCCCTGCAGGGTGAGTGGTTCTTCCATAGCCACTTAGTAATCACTGGAGAATCTATTGTCTTTACTGTTGCAGCTTGATTAGTCATTAGTGTTTATTCAGCCAAAACGTTTCAGACACACATGAATTACAGCATTTTGGCCTTGGAAGGAACCTTAGAAAGCATGGGCCATGAAACTTTAGACCCGAGTATAAACCCTGCTTCCTTGGACAAACTAAGGTTTTCTCATCTGCCAAACATGTGGAGTAATGTTTAACAGACTTATTCTGAGTACTGAATAGGATAACGTGTATAAAGTGTCTCAGACATAAGAGGACTGAATAACTGTTCGTTTTCTTCGTCTCTCCATTTTACAGATGGGCAAATCAAGGCACAGAGGAGGAGAAAGCCCTTAGCCCTAAGCAAATCAGCAGCTTTTTATTTTTATTTAATTTATTTATTTTGGTCATACTTCGCAGCATGTGGAATCTTAGTTCCCCAACCAGGGATCGAACCCACGCCCCCTGCATTAGAAGTGCAGAGTCTCAACCACTGGACCGCCAGGGAAGTCCCCCTCAGCAGCCTTTTAAACAAGTCAGAGTTTGAACCCTATTTTCTTAAAAATTTTTAATTTTATTGTGGTAAGAACATTTAACCTGAGATCTAAGTGTACAATACACTATTGCTGACTGTAGGCATGGGGTTGTATAGCACTTATTCTTTAGAACTTATTCATCTTGCTTAAATAAATTGAATACCTGTTGATTAAATTCCCCATTTCCCTCTCTTTCCAGCCCCCGGCAACCACCATTCCATTCTTTGATTCTATGAATTTGACTATTTTAGATACCCCCATATAAGTAGAATCATATAGTATTTGTCTTTCTGCAAGTGACTTATTTCATTAGCATAAGTTCCTCATGGTTCATCTGTGTTGTCGCGTAAGGCAGGATTGCCTTCTTTTTAAGTGTGAATAGCATTCCACTGTATGTGTCCCTGGGGTCTGGATTTCACGTCCAAAATTATTCTTTTGCCTCCATGCTGGATTTGTAAAATCTCTTTACCCACTAAGGAAGTAAGTTTTCCTGCACAAGAAGCAGATATCTGAGTTGACAAGTCACCAAATAAAGAAGAGCAAACGTTTGAAAAAGAAATGCACCAGTTTTCTATAAGAGACTGGTGTCCAACACTCAGGGATCTCACAGACAAGGGAAGACAACTTCCCCCAGAATGCTTTGCCACCCAGGCTAGTCTAGCCGGTGATGAAAGTTTAAATTCAGGCCTATGGGTATAACTCTGCAAAATACATTTCCCATCATGAGCTCACTAATGCACCCCTGCATTACCCTCCAGATACTTCTGAAACTTTAGACCAAGGATGAGCCTCCGCTTGAGGTCAACGCCTCTCATTAGATTTCTAGCTTCTTTACAGTCTGGCCTCCTGGTTGACAACAGAATTCTCTTTTTAGAACAGAGATCTGATCTTGTCACTACTCTGCTCAAAAACTCTACATGGTTCCTGATTTCTACAGGATGAAGTATAGACTTTTAAACGCAAAAGCAACAAAAGTATGTGTTAAAATGCATGTACACATCTGGCCAGATCATATGTATATCAGTTTTCGAGGGCTGTCAGAACAGAATGCCATACACTGAGTGACTTAACAGAGATTTATTTTCTCATAGTTCTGGAGGCTGGAAGTCCAAGATCAAGGTGTCAGCAGGGTTGGTTTCTCCTGAGGCCTCTCTCGGCCTGCAGATGACGGCCTTCTAGCTGTAATCCCACATGGTCCTTCCTCTGTGTATTCATGCCCCTGTTGTTTCTTTGTGAGTCTAAATTTCCTCTTATTAAAAGGACACAGGGGAGTTCCCTGGTGGCACACTGGTTAAGAATCTGCCTGCCAATGCAGGGAACACGGGTTCGAACCCTGCTCTGGGAAGATCCCACACACTGCGGAGCAGCTAAGCCTGCACGCCACAACTATTGAGCCTGCGCTCTAGAGCCCACGAGCTACAACTACTGAGCCCATGAGCCACAACTACTGAGCCTGTGTTCCACAGCTACTGAAGCCTGTGCCTAGAGCCTGTGCTCTGCAACAAGAGAAGCCACCGCAATGAGAAGCCCACGCACCATAAAGAAGAGTAGCCGCCACTCACCGCAACTAGAGAAAGCCCGCATGCAGCAACGAAGACCCAACGCAGCCAAAAATAAAATAAATAAAAAATTTAAAAAAGGACACAAAGTCAGATTGGATTAAGGCCCACTCTAACAGCCTATTTCAACTTAATCACCTCTTTAAAGGCCTCATTTCCAATTCTAGTCTCATTTTGGGGTATTGGGGTTAGAACTTCCCCCAAATGTATAAATCTGGGGGGACACAAGTCAGCCCATAACAATATATGTGCATTAGATATGTTTTAAAACTGCACATTCTAGAAAGAGTTTGTTTAAAAGGTATTATAAACTAAATTATTTGGTTAATTTTTATATTTCAGATGTAACTTCTCCTGGACGGGAAGACCAAGAATTTGGTATTACTAAAAGTATATCTGGCTTGAGTTAGACTTTGAGAACTGCCATAGTAGAACTCCTAGAATTTTGAATCTGCTAGGTCTCAATCAATGTTTCCTGGTTCATTCTCAATAACACTGTGACTTAAAATTCCACCTTATTTAATTTGTATCCCCAGCCCAACACCTAATAAGGATTCAGTCATTATTTTTTTAATTCAGTGAAATTAATCATGCAAAGCCCCACCCCTTTCGTGCCCAGCATTCGGTCTCACTAAGCATCAGTCTCTTCCCCAAGCATACCTCTCACCCTTGTGTTTTAAACATGGTGTTGTCTCACCCTTGACTGCCCCTTCCTCTAGAGAGCCAACGCAGTCATGGAGACCTGACACATATGTTGCAGGTAAACACTCCCTCCTTTATTCTCTCATTGTATTACTTACCTCTTGCTACTTGGTAGATATCAGAATGTATTTTATTTTATTTACTTATTTTTTAAATAAGCTTATTTATTTATTTATGGCTGCGTTGTGTCTTCATTGAGGTGAGCCGGGGCTACTGTTCGTTGCGGCGCATGGGCTTCTCATTGCGATGGCTTCTCTTGTTGTGGAGCACGGGCTCTAGGCATGCGGGCTCAGTAGTTGTGATGCACGGGCTTAGTTGCTCCGCAGCATGTGGGATCTTCCCGGACCAGGGCTGGAACCCGTGTCCCCTGCATTGGCAGGTGGATTCTTAACCACTGCACCACGAGGGAAGTCCCAGAATGTATTTTAAAGGTCAGTTTTCTCATCTCCCTCACTATACTTTATACTCCTTCAGGGCAAGAAGAATATTCTATCACACATAGGCACTTAGTAAATGTTAGCTAGATGAGTTGGTCTGCCATTCTGCCTGGTGGCATGAGTGGCAGTCATACACCCGCATGGACCCAAAGCGTGAGTTTGCCTTTGCCCCATGTTTTTTTCCAGACCCATAAACAACCACAAGCCCAACCTGACCCCAACACAAAGAGAGGAAAGAAGTCCTTTCATGATGAGGTCCCAGGATCCTCAGTTCTACCCTCAAAGAGTGCCCAAAGCAAAATACAGCTTTGGAAGTGACAGCTCCACCTTGCCCAGCCCACCCTCCTTCCTCTAAGCCACTCTGTCATCTGACTTTAGCCTGGGAACTTCTCAGTCCAGTCTCAGGCTATGCTAAAGAATGAACAAGAATTGTCTGTCTTTGAGAAACGTACATGACATTTGATAAATGGGGAGAGGGGGGTATTTTGTTATGTATGTAAGACCACATTTGACTTTTATAATTGAAAATAAAGATTCAAAAAAATCCCCTCATAGCATCCTAGGTGGGGCCATAAAATTCAATTGTGTAAGATGTGTGGTCTTGGCCCTGTGAGGTTACTGAAATGACCAGGGCGAACCAGGTCAGCTAGCCCGGGGGTTTCAGGGGTCAGCCAGTGCCATCCAAACCTGTCCCTGCCCTGGCTGGGGTTTGGCACTTCCTACTGGTGGTGGACCACAGTGGTAATTCACAGCCTCTTCCTCTTGGCTGACTGACTCTTATAATGTCAGCCCAATACTGGGGACACCGGGCGCCCTGGCGAAATGGAGCTCTCTGTTTCCCAATACACAGAGGAGAGGATGAGAGACAGGTCAGAGGAGAGGTGGGGAGACCTCCCTTCAGGAACGAAGTGGCTGCTTGGCTGCATGGAGCCCTGCTGGCTGACAGCCTCCAGTGATCAGCATCTTTAGCATCTGCCTCAGGATCAGCTTAGGAGCTGAGCTCATGCTCCTTTTCAGCAACCCCTAGCCAACAGCTAAGCATGGCAGGATACTAGGGCCTCGTAGTTTTTGCCCAACGTGGACCTGTTCTGATGGGCAATCTTGTTCCAGAGCTTCCCAGTGGGTCATCCAAGACTCTCTCAGATCATGGTCTCAGGCTTTTCCTACACAGTCCTGCTTCTTCCCCTCTTTTATCTTCTATTTTTTCCATTTTAACAGTTTTTAATGAAAGTTGTATGCAAGATTACTTCATTCCTGCATCTTCTCAATTGTTTCTTCCTTATATTTGCCCTTTTCCTTTCCTACTTGGTGAGATTTGGCTTTACGTTCGAGGATCTTTTTGCATTCCTTGCCCAGTTTTAGTCTGGTGATAACCACCTTGCTGGGGTGAATGCCCGCATGGACAGTCGTGCCAGTAGCCTTCTCCCGCTGCACTCGTTCAGTGTAGATGACATATTTCTTCCTGTAAACCTGGACTACTTTGCCAATTTGCTGCCCTTTGTAGTGCCCTCCTACCACCTGAGCTTCATCATTCTTTCGGATGGGCATGGATCGGACATTGTACTTCTGTCTCAGCTCTTTAGAAAGAGGGGAAGACATAATCTTCCTGCGAATGTGGGAAGGCACGTTGAAATGCCTTTTCCAGTTCTTGCTTCGGTCAGAAGTCACAAAGGGATTGAACTTCATTTCGGCCGCTAGCGCTTCAGCGATGGTCGCAAAAGGGAAGAACCCCTCTTTTATCTTATACAGACACTGTCTCCGACAAGCCTCTTGCACTCCCAACTCCAGCTTAGTGGACCCTACTGACAGTTTCACACACACACACACGTGTAAGGACCCATGAGTCTAACACCTGAGCCCTCCAGGCCGCACGGAAGGACCTGCTCATTTACCTAACACATGCTAAGTATCTACTCTGTGCAGGATCATTGTTCCTGCCCTCAACCAAGCCCTGTCTAATGAGGGACACAGAGAGAAAAATAAATCAGCAAAATACATTGTGATCTTAGTGTAATACATGCATGCTTCTAATTGTTTAAGTACATGGAAACCTCTAATGAGTTCCCAATGTTCTCATCCTACTGTGTTCTTTGCGTGAACATTCCTCTTGCAATCTGGTTCATGATTTGGCTTTGCAATGTCTTTTGCTACTGACAAAACAGAGTTAAACTCGAATGCATATCCAATGGGGAAACTCTAATAAATTCTAAATTGGGGACTTGAATTAATGAATCCCTGAATAACAGAGTTGATTATACTGCCCTTTGTATTCCAGTTCCTGGTGTTTTATTGGTTTTGTCTCTGAAATGACTGAAGCAGATCTAATAATGACAGTAATGACTGAAGTCGAAAAATAATAAGACTTAAGGCACAGTCACATTAAAGCCGGTAATAATAATAAGCCTCTACCCATACATTAAAGCCTTAGCTTGCTAATTGTACCTGTAACCTAAGCAAACAACTGCTGAGAGGAGAACCAAGAACATGACAGAGGAGCCAATATTCTGTGGCATCACAAGTTGGATTTTTTCTATTCTAAGAAACTCTAAAAGAATTTGTTGCTGCCCTCGGGGAGTTCACAGAGAGGAAGAAGTTGGGTCACATATTAGTTTTCTAGATCACTTATAAAAGGCCCTGATAAACAACAAAGTCCTACTGTATAGCACAGGGAACTATGTTCAGTATCCTGTGATAAACCATAATGGAAAAGAATATGAAAAATAATGGATATATATGTATAACTGAATCACTTTGCTGCACAGCAGAAATTAACACAACACTGTAAATCAACTATACTTCAATAAAAAAAATTTTAAAAACTTTTAAAAAGGGCTTGAATCGTGTCTTTGACACAAAAGCATCCACGTACACCAGTCTTCTGGCGATATATATATATATATATATATACACACACACACATATATAATATGTATATGTGTATATACATATATATATATATATACACAGCTACATACATATATACACAGATACATATATACACAGATAGCTATATATGTGTATATATATATACACACAGATAACTATATATGTGTATATATATATATATATATACACAGATAACTATATATGTGTGTGTGTATATATATATATATATATATATATATACACACACACACATATATATTTAATCTGGGTTCCTGTTCTCGGGGCTGTGTGGAAGTCCAGGACCTACCCAAGATTTCAGGGGGCTCTTCCTGAGGGGGTGGCTGCAAGTCTCCTTCCATGGCTCACTCAGCCAGCCTGCTACCAGCTTGATTCCTCTTGACCACCCTGTACACTCTCAAGCCTCCTGAGATTGCTCTCCTTTCTGCCCCTCTGCACCCCTGCACGCCAATAATATTCTTTCTCTCCTCATTCTCCATAGCGGTACTAACATGGGGCTATTACAAGTTAAAAACTCTTACTGACTGTATAAGAATAATAAAAGCAGGTACAGGGTAGCCCAAACAGGAGTCAACTAAAGAACTCCTCCAAATCAATAATAAAAAGAAAACCCAGTTTTTAAAAATGGAGAAAACCCTTGATTTCAAAACAGACGTTTCAGAAGTTATATGAATCGCTAGTACACACATAAAACGTTTTTTTACCAGTGTTCCTGAAAATACCATGTAAATTTGTGTGAATACCTCATTATTCATCAAAGAAATGCAAATTAAAACCATGAGATACAATTTCTTACCCACTAGAATGGCTGCATTTTAAAGGAGTGACAAATGTCAAGTGTTAACAGTGACCTGGAGCTCCTAGAACTTGTGTACATTGCTAGTGGGGGATAAGGTAGTACAACCACTTTGGTGAACTGGTTGGCAGTTTATTGTAAAGAATATACCCACATTATGACCAGGAATTCCACTTCCAAGCATCTACCCGAGAGAAATGAAAATATATGTACACAAAAATCATATAGGAAAGTTCATAGCACCTTTATTCATAATAATGAAACCTGGAAACAAACTAAGTGTTCTCCAACAGGAGATAAACAAATTGTGAATTTTTTGTATTTAAAATCATAGTAATAATAACAAGAAGAATAAGAAGAAATTATTGATATCCATATTAACATTGATGAATCTCAAAAGTATATTCAGCAAGACACAAATGAGTACATACCATTTGATTCCATTTATAAATTTTCTGTGGAATTAAAAAACAGTCAAAACTAATTTATGGTGATAGAAATCAGAACATGTGTTACTTAGGGTGGGGGTGGGACAGACTGACAGGAAAGGGACATTTCTGGATAATGTAAAAGATCTCTATCTTAATTAGGGTGGTGGTTAGAAGAGGGTGAACAATGGTCAAAACTCATTGAACTGTACACCTAGTATGTGTGCAATTTGTTGTATGTAAACTACACTGTAAAAAAATCCTAATGCCTAGGCCACCCCCTAGTCCAATCAGATCGTTGTCTCTATGGGTAGAATGAAGGTACCAATATTTTTTTAAAGCTCCTCAGCAGGGGCCTCATCTTCCACAGCTAAAAACTCTGCCATGGGGTTTCCATTAAAAAAAGGAAAAAAATTGAAAACTTTCTCTTTGTATCTTTTAAAGGAGCCAGCTCAAACCAGAGCCGAGTTAAAAAAATTAGTTTTGTCTCACTTCCTTCGTATTTTTTAATGGATCACCACTGACAATAAAAAAAAGGAAGGAAGGGAACCAACATTTATTGAGCACCTACCACGTATCATGGACCAGACCCTGAACTTTATACTCATCATCTAATCTTTGGAACAATCCTTTTGGTAATTATTATCTCCATTTTGGAAAATAAATCCTGAGAGTTGAAAAAGGCAGGTAATGTGCTCCAAATTTTAAAAAAATGCACAATGGAGAATAAGATCCAAATGTGTTTGACTTGCAAGTTTTCATGTTATGCTCACACAGATACTTTTTAGAAAGTCTGACACAGCAGTTTGAAAAAACAACCTAAAAAAGTCAGGCCTTGATTCTTAGTTGCTATAAGGCATGAGCTTTTGAATTGTTTGTTTTGTGGGAATCATACCTTTGAGAGTTGAGATTTCTTCCACTACCACACATAAGGAGGGTTGTGATTTGGCAAGCAGAATCTGGCTTTCACCACAGTGAGTCCTAGATTCCACACCTCAGCTGACCATTGTGGGGCAGACCATTTTCTCATAGAAACAGCATTATTATTGGAGGTTGTATTCCTGAGCAATATGCTCAGCACCAAATAAGTCAAAGGAAAAAGTAGTGATTAAAAACAAATATATAGGGCTTCCCTCGTGTCGCAGTGGTTGAGAGTCCGCCTGCCGGTGCAGGGGACGTGGGTTCGTGCCCCGGTCCGGGAGGATCCCACATGCCGTGGAGCGGCTGGGCCCGTGAGCCATGGCCGCTGAGCCTGCGCGTCCGGAGCCTGTTGCTCCGCAATGGGAGAAGCCACAACAGTGAGAGGCCCGCGTAACGCAGAAAAAAAACCAAAAAACAAAAAACCACAAATATATACCTTCATAATTATTTTGAATACTCAAGCTGTACTTCCCAGCCTATGAAATGATCCCAATCTTTCCAAGGGTCTCCAGGGTACTCTTATAACTGTGCATACAGCATATATAACACACAAGTCTAGGGTGGATTCACTCATAAAATGAATCCAAGATTAATAATCTAGCCACAACATATATTAAACATTTCAATAATTATTTTGCTTGTATTTTTAGAATTTTAGAATAGCTTTATTTATATATTTATTTATTAGAATGGAGCACTGGTCCATCTTTTTAAAAAATATTTATTTATTTATTTATGTATTTGGCTGCATTGGGTCTTAGTTGTAGCACGCAGGATCTTCGTTGTGGTGTGCGGGCTTTTCTAGTTGTGGCGTGTGGGCTTAGTTGCCCACGGCATGTGGGATCATAGTTCCCCGACCAAGGATTGAACCCACGTCCTCTTCACTGGAAGGCAGATTCTTAATCACTGGACCACCAGGAAGTCCCTAGAAGAGCTTTAAAAGTTGATTAAAATGAAGCATAACTCTGCAACCTACCAGTTCAGTTACCAAACAGGTTGATCCGGGGAATGCTATAGAGAACCTGTCTGAATATCTTCAAGCTTTTGGAAATATCTTGGTGGGAGAATGGAGGGAGGAGATTAAAACGTGTACAAGATGAATGTCAAAAAGAATCATTGCAACAAACGCTTACTGAGTGTTACACACTGTGTTAAATACTCTACCTATATTATTCCATTTAATCCTCACAACAACTTTGTAAAGAGGGCACTGTTCTTAAGATGAAGAAATTGAGGTTCAAAGAAGTTAAATAACTTGTCTAAGGAGCACAGCCAGGAAATGACAAGATGAAGATAAAGGCCAAGCTGTTGACTATAAAGCCCCTGCCTCCCCAGATAATAACTACTCACCTTCTTGAGCACATGCCCTGTGCCGCATTGCAGGTGTTTCATCATTTAATCCTTAAAAAAGTCCTATGAGTTGGGTGCTATAATTATCATTTAACAGTAGAGGAAAAGGAAGCACAGATAAGTCAGTGTGTAACTGACTGAGCAGCCCTTCCTAAAGAGTGCTAACTGTTGAACACAAGCAACTAGAGGGAAGGCCTCCAATGGCATGCCACAGTGAGCTGTCCCTGCCCTGAGCTTTTTATTCAAATTTTACTTGGATAAAGACTGTGATCTGCTGCCCAGATATAGGACAACATG